GTTACTTGTATTTTTTGATAGTAGCTATTTTGACAGGTATCTCATTGTGGTTTTGGTTGCATTTACCTGATGATTAATTTTGTTGAGCATTTTTTCATCAGTGTGATGGTCATTTGTATGTCTTCTTTGGTGAAATATCTATTCAGATCCCCTGCCTGTATTTTCACTGGGTTGTTGTTTCTTTTTTTTTTTTCTTTTTTTAATATTAAATTGTATGAGTTCTTTGTATATTTTGGATATTAACCCCTTTTTTGGACATAGCATTTGCAAATATCTTCTGCCATTCAGTGGGTGGCCTTTTTGTTTTGTTGATGGTATTTTCATGTGAAGAAGTTGTTATATGTGCAAAAACTTTAAGTTTGATTTAGTCCCATTTGTTTATTTTGCTTTTGTTTTCCTTACCTGAGGAGGCATAACCAAAAACCACTGCTAGCAACCAATGTTAAAAAGCATATTATCTATGTTTTATTCTACAAGTTTTATGGTTTCAGGTCTTAGATTTAATTCCTTAATCTGTTTTGAGTTTCTTGTTGTATAATATATGGTATGAGAAGGTAGTCCATTTTGGTTCTTTTGAATGTAACTGTCCAGTTTTCTCAGCACCATTTATTAAAGAGGCTGTCTATTCTCATTGTATAACCTTGCCTTCTATGTCATAGATCATTAACCATATAAGTGTAGGTTTATTTCTGGGCTGTCTATTCTATTCCTTTTATCTATGTGTCTGTTTTCATGTCAATACTATATTGTTTTGATTACTGTCCTTTGTAGTATAGTGTGAAATCGGGGAGCACAATACTTCCAGTTTTGTTCTTCTTTCTCAAGATTGCTTTGGCTCTTTGACCTCTTTTGTTGTTTCATATAAATTTTGGGACTATTCTAGTTGTGTGAAAAATGCTATGGGTATTTTAATAGGAATTACATTGAATCTGGAGTTTGCTCTGAGTAGTATGGACATTTCACAGTATTAATTCTTTTAGTCTGTGAGCACAGTTTATCTCTTCATTTAATTGTGTCTTCCTCAGTTTCTTTCCCCAATGTTTTATAGTTTCCAGAGTACAAATCTTTCATTTCCTTGATTAAATTTATTCCTAGGAAATTTATTCTTCCCTATGCAATTGTAAATTTTTGGTCAATTATTATTAGTGTATAGAAATGCAATAGATTTCTGTGTCTTGTTTGTATCTTGTAACTTTACTGAATTCATTTGGTAGACCTAATAGGTTTTTGTGTGGAGTATTTAAAGTTCTCTATATATGGTACATGTCATCTGCAAACAGTGGCAGTTTCAATTTAGATGAATTTTATCTCATTTTCTTGCCTAATTGTTCTGGCAAGGGCTTCCAAACTATGTTGAATAAAATTGGGAATAGTGGGATCCTTGTTTTCTTCCTAGTTTAGAGGAAATGCTTTCAGCTTTTCACCACTGAATATGACATGAACTGTGGGTTTGTCATATATGGCCTTTAGGTTGAGGTATGTTTCCTTTGTAACCACTTTGTTGAGAGTTTTTGTTGTAAAATGGATATTGAATTTTGTCAAAAGTTTTACTGCATCTGATTATATGATTTTTATCCTTTATTTTGTTAATGTGGTGTTTCACATTGAGTGATTTGAATATATTGAACTATTCTTGTGTCCCTAGAGTAAATCCTACTGAATCATGATATATAATCCTTTTAATATGTTACTGAATTTCATTTGCTTATATATATTCTGTTGAAGATTTTTGTATTCATGTTTATCAGGGATAATTATCTATTATTTTCTCTGTTTTCATAGTATCTTTGATTTTGATATCAGGATAATGCTGGCCATGTAGAATGAACTTGAAAGTGTTCCTTCCTTCCCCTTTAGTTTTTTGAAATAGTTTGAGATGAATACATATTAAGTCTTCTTTATATGTTTGAGAATACCCTGTTTTATCCCTTCACTTTTTGTGTGATTTTAGATGTCAAGTGAGTACTTTGATGGAAGCATGTATATGGAGCTTTTTTTTCTTTTAATACATTCAGCCACTCTATTTTCTGGATCTGAACATTTAGTCCATTTACATTTAAAGTAATTATTGACAGACATATACTTATTACAATGTTGTTAGTTGTTTTCTGGTTATTTTTGGTATTCTTCTCTGTTCCTTTCTTCTCTTAGTCCCTTATGATTTGGTTACTGAGTTATGTTTGTGTTACTTCCTCTTTATCTTTTGTGTATCTATATTATATGTTTTTGATTTGTGGTTACCATGAAGTTCTTATATAGCAAATATCAGTATATTTTAAGTTGACCATTGCTCAAATTTGCCTGTATTCTAAAAACACTACATTTTTACTCTCCTCTGCCACATTTTATGTCTTTGGTGTCTTACTTTACATTTTTTATTTTGTACATTGTTAAATAATTACTATAGATAATATTTTATTTTACTAGTTTTGTATTTTAACCTTCATACTAGCTGTATAGTTGGCTGATTCATTACCTTTACTATATATTTGACTTTACTGGTGGTATTTTTCTCTTTTTGAATTTTCATATTTCTGATTATGTTCTTGTCTTTTCTATAAGGAAGACCCTTTAACATTTCTTATAAGGTTGGCTTAGTGGTGATGGACTCATTGCCCTTTTGCTGTTCTGGTAAACTCTTTATCTCTTCTTCAATACTGAATGTTAACTTCACCAGATAGAGGTTCTTGGTTGTGTTTTTCCTTTCAGTACTTTGAATGCTACTGCTACTGCTAAGTCACTTCAGTTGTGTCCGGCTCTGTGTGACCCCATCCCCGGGATTCTCCAGGCAAAAACACTGGAGTGGGTTGCCATTTCCTTCTCCAATGCATAAAAGTGAAAAGTGAAAGTGAAGTTGCTCAGTCATGTCTGACTCTTCGTGACCCCATGGACTGCAGCCTACCAGGCTCCTCCATCCATGGGATTTTCCAGGCAAGAGTACTGGAGTACTTTGAATATGTCATGCCATTCTACAAATTTTCTGCTGAAAAATCAGCTGATAATCTCACAGGATTTATTTTGTATGTGACACATTTGTTTTGTTTTGTTTTTTGCTGACCATAATACTCTCTTTATCTTTAACTTCTGACATTGTGACGGTAGTGTATTTGTGTAGGTCCCTTTGGATTGACTTTATTTGGTATTCTCTGGGATTCCTAGACTTGAATGTGTTTCTTTCACCAGTTTAGGGGAATTTACATCCATTATCTCTTGAAATATCTCTGTCCCTTTCTTTTCCTTCTGGGAATTCTATAATACAAATGTTAGAATGCTTTTTGTGCCCCAGAGGCTCCTTAAACTATCCTCATTTTTTAAAATTCATTTTTTGTTTTGCTGTTTTGATTGGGTGATCTCCTATTAGCCTGTCTTCCATATTGCTGATCCTTTCCTCTGCATCATCTAATCTGCCTGTGATTCCCTCAAGTTTCTAACTTAGCTCCATTTCATTAAATTCTTTTTCTGAGGTTTTGTCTTATTCTTTTGTTTGGAACATCTCCTCATATAAACTAATTTTTTTGTTTCTATGTATTAGGTAGATCACCTATTATCTCCTGGTCTTTAAAGAGTGACTTTGTATAGAAGGTGTCTTGTGGGGCCCAGTAGTGTGTCCCCTCCTGGTCAACAGAGACAGGTACTCCAGGATTGTCCTCTGTGTGGGCTGTGTGCATACTCCTGTTATCACTGAGTTGCAATTGCTTTGGGTGCACTGGTATATGGGGCTGGTTCCCAGTACAACCAGCTATAAGGCCTGGCCACAATCTGCCAGCTCCTTTATACTCAGAAAGTTTGAACAGATCTGTGCCTCTTAGGTACATGCCCTAAAATTAATAAATGAATTTCCTTCTTGTATGACCCAGGCACTATTCTAACTGCTGCCTCTGCACTGGGATTTGGAAAGAGTGAATCTGTGCCTGCACCCTTTAAGAGCAGTCTCAGTTTCCTACAGGCTTCTGGCTCTGCCACATGTAAGCCCCTCTGGTGTTAAAGCCAGATTTTATGGTGTCTCATCTTCCTGGTGCAGGTCTTCTAAGATGGGGAGCCCAATGTTGGGCTTGGGTCCTTGGCCCTTTGGTGAAGACCCCTAGGACTGTGATACCCCTCCTGCTTGTGGATTGCTCCACTGTGGGCATGGGTTCTGACTAAACTGCATCTCTCTTCCTCCTACCTGTCTCATTGTTGCTTTTTCTTTTTATCTCCAGTTATGGAAAATATTTTCTGTTAGTCTTATGGTCATTCTCAGAGATGGTTCTCTCTATGTAGTTGTAATTTTTGTGTATGTGTGGGAGGAGGTGAGCCCAAGTTCTCCCTACTCTGCCATCTTGTTCTACCTCCCCTCTCCACTCTAGTTTATTATTGATAGGGTTTGTGGGGTGGCTCTAATTAGAACTTATTCTAGGTCTATTTTAATCTACAGGTTTTCTTTTCCTCAAGTCAGTATTCCAGAATCACTGCCCAGAAGCCTGGGTTATAGTGAGTACCATAGTTTCCCAGAAGAGTTTAGTGCCTTTTGGTAATAAAAGTATATACAATATTTGTTTTGTGTGGTGATGGTGGTAAGAGGTCACACTGGCACTAACCCATTCACTGTACATGTCTAGACTGAGCCTTTAAGCATATTTATATTATTACTAAATTACTGTTCACATAACTGCTTTTATTCATTTTGATTAATAAGTTTCATTAGCTTAATTAAAACTGTGTTAAATTGTTTGACATATTTCTTTAATGGTGTCTCTTATTTTTGATATAATGAAATGTGACTTTTATGATGTATAATGCATTTTTTGGCATTTCTAGACAAAGTTTGCTTTCATTTATGATTCACAGTCTGTAGAGAACTTTGTTCATTGTGTATCTCTAGGTGACAGATATTCATAGAATTATTAAGGGGATGTACCTAATGCAGAAAGCACACTTTGAAGTTAGAGGTTTATAAAATGAAAGTACATTGATGGGAAAGTCTTACTTTTGTTAATAGTGCAGTTTTCCTTCTTTTCCAGATCCTCCTGAATTATTTTGGAAACTATATACCTAATGCATGGACACAAGATAATGGTTGCACTCTTTGTGAAGTGGATACAATTGACTTGTCTGCAATAGATGTGAGTGGAATTGACTCTGGATGAAATGTAGTAATAAAAGTATATTTTCATGAAATTCAATGATTTGTAAAATAAAAACAACACATTATTTTATAGTATTGATAATTTGGTAGATGATAGATTTATAAATCTAAAGCAGGATGACAGAAAATTGCTGGATATGTGTATTTCTAGAAAAACCAGATAATAATTGACCCCATTGACCCTAGTAAAAGGGGCTTAGTTGTTAATATTTACTAGTTTGCTATGAGTGGGAATTCTTGTTTTTAGTCTTTAACTTGGTCAAAGGATTGAGGAAAATAATGGTTATAATGTTTCAGTATTTGTATTGACTAATTTTATCTGTGCTTGATTTTCAAATTTGATGATTTAAAAATAATAACTAAGGACTGTTTTAGTATTTTATATATAGTAACTCATATTAATTTTACAAATCCCATAGGTTTGACTGAGGTTTACAGATGAGAAAACTGAGGTACCTCCACATTAAGTAACTTACCTAAGGCATGCAATTTTTTTTTTTTAATATTGGATGTGTGATTTGAATTTAGGCAATCTGGTTCTAGACCCTATAATTTTGGCCACTGTACAATTTTGCCTAGATGTCACATATATATTATATGCCAGGCATAGTGCTACTTTATACATAGATTTCATACAGAATTATAGTTATAGTTTACCATTTATACTTTGAAGATAAACATGCCATTGGAAGTAATTATTATTTATGTATAAAATGCTTTATGCATCCTTCTGTCATCAACAGAGCAGTTTTAGGATATCCTGTCGTAATAATTTTCTTCCAAAAATGGCTCTTATAATTTGGAAGACTATTATGTGTATGAACAATGGGTTCTAAGGATAATTTTGTCATTAAGACTGATTGTTTCCTTTACTTACCATAATTTTGTTGAATATCTACAGCATGCCAGATAAGTGTAGACACAAATAAAATTCCCCTTAATATAGTTCTGGTGACTTCTGGACCCATGCAAATTCAAAATAATCTCACTGTAAAGTACTAAATGTCCTGAATTAAGTAGTTTCTGTTTTTATCACTGTCTGAAAGGGAGTATAAAGAGTAATTTGTTCGTATTTAGGAGAGTCTGAATAGAGCCCTCTTTTACCTGAAAGTAAGATTTTTTGGCCAGTCTCTGAAATAACAAGCTGAATGTTTCCTATCTGGAAGGAAAGCCAGAAAATTTCTGAATGAAGCTGCATCATGAAGATGTTTAAAAATTCATCCTGATCTTTTTTTCAAAAGAGTGCTGTCTTCTGGAGGGAGAGTTAAAATTTTTTATCTGTTTGGTTTCCTGTTAACATAAACTTTCTAGTGCCAAGACAGAAAAATATTTATATTATAATTTTTTATCTTTATTTTTTTGCGCATAGGAATAACTTGATTATCAAGCCGTTTTTGTCTTACAGACTGCTAGAAAGGAAAGCCATTTTATTATAAAAATAAATTTCTTATGTATTTTATTTATTTAGTAATTATGCATATAAATATTAAAATTATATGGGTAGTTAAGGTCTAGGGCTACCATATTCTAAGATGTGGGCCATAGGCAAGTTTCTTTATATGTAAAAATGATAATGGTTGTCTCAGAGGATTGGTAGGAGGCTTAAAGAAATTACACATATGTTTATGTATACAGTAATATTTTATATGATAAATATATATATGAAATGCTAAGCTTTGAATAATACTTAACTGTTATCATCATTGGTGTACTGTTGTTATCATTAGTGTATAAAATGAGCTTAGATTGAGAGTGAAGATGTAGCATGCTGAAGCTTAACTCTAGCTACTAATTCATGTGTTCTGAGTTGCTCTAAATCTCCTTTTCCTCATATTGTAAATTTGGAATAATAAATGACTTCTAGGTTATGAAATTTAAATGACATGCATCACTTCATTTGATAAGGGAGAGTTGTCATCCAGTTTTTACTCATTTCCCCTATTAAATTGAGAACTTCCAGAAGGTAGATTTTTTTTCTTTAGTTGTTTGTCTTTGTTTATTGACTTAGTAATAAATATTTGGGTAACTGAATGAATACATACAATGAATATATACAACTGTGTTTGAGTTGTACTTCAATCCACACAAATATTAGGTTATCATCCAGATGACAGAGGAATACATGAGGTATTATGTGTGAAAAGGAGAGGTACCTAATTCGGCGCTGAATATATATGGCACTTTAAAAAATCTGTAATCTTTATTTTTAGAAGTTTTTTGTTATTTAAAAATTTTTCTTGTTCAATAGTGTGATGTACTTATTTGTCTTTTCCTTTTACCTTTTGATCTACTTCACCCATGTGTATATAATTTGTAATTTAAAAATCTAAAGTTAAGCTTCAAGACATGGATTTAAAAAGGTATTATAAAGAAATCTTTCATATAGTTCCAATAAAAATACCATACTATTGTGTGGTTATTTACTTATGTTTCTGTCTTCCTCAACCATTTGTAAGTTTCCAAGCCAGGAACTTTCCCTCCATTTTCTAAATGTTTCTGATCACGAGGATAGACTAATAATAGATATTTCAGAATTTTTCATGAAATGAGTGACAGATAAGCCATCTTCTAACACTTACCCAAACAGAAATTAAGAAAATATATAAAAATCGATACAAGATAAGATATATTAGTGATGCAAAATAGCTTTCCTTATATATAACATAATAATGAAGCAAAATAAAGAACTATCAGTAAAATGATATTAATGATTCAAACATAGAGATAAAGTCTCATGATTTTAGTAATGAGACTTAATGAGGTTTCTCATAATAATCTCTATGATTACTTTATTTGAGCCACAGATTAACCATTCAGTTTCCAAGCCATAGAAACAAACAAAGAAGCACAGTTAGCATTTTGATCTCTGAGATGAAGCTATCAAAATAGATTCATATCTAAAGAAAGTTTCTTTTAGGACTACTTTAAAGGGAACATTAAATAGTAGAGCAGGCAATAACTTTAATTATAGTGTCCCTGTAATAAATATAGTAGTGAGCTTCCTCTTCAACTTGAATCATAATGTCAAGATGTTATTCAGTAAAAATCATTGATGGGGTCCACAAAAATGTATTAGAGAATTGCCACTGGGCAATCAACATTATGTTGTACTGATATTATAGTATATTTTGTGCTGTATTGATTAATACTTGAATAGAATTTAAAGTAAACCCATGCTAATGATAATTTGTTTTTATGTTTGACATAAAACAAAGGTCTATCCAAATGTAACAATAGGTGTCTTTATTGAGCAACCAACCCCTTTCCTACCTCGATTTCTGAACACATTGTTGACTCTGGATTACCCAAAAGAAGCACTTAAATTCTTTATTCATAACAAAGTAAGTATTTGATAAATGAATTATTTTATGTGAAAACTTTGATCTTAGTTGAAACTATTTGTTATTATTTGTTCATGTCTAAAAATTGTTAAAATTTGTGTTAAATTATGTGGGGGTTTTGAAATCATTACTTCTTTGCCTCTGTAGGGGGCTTCCCTTGTAGCTCAATCAGTAAAGAATCTGCCTGCAGTTCAGGAGACTTGGGTTCAATCCCTGATTTGGGGAGACCCCCTGGAGAAGGAAATGGTGACCCACTCCAGTATCCTTGCCTGGAAAATCTCATGGACAGAGGAGTCTGGTGGGCTACAGTCCATAGGTTCGCAAAGAGTTGGGCAGGACTGAGCGACTAACACTTACTTACTTACTTGCCTCTTTAGCACCTAAGTATTTTCAAATACAGTAACTAGTATCATAGTATTGAGATGAGCCACATGAAGCTGTCAGTTTTTTGTAGATCAAAAATGGTTGACTACCAGCCATTTTAATAAATTTAACCTAATATTTAGTGAAGAGATGTCAAAGAGTCTATAGTCCTTTGCCTTTGGGTTTGTTCTGGTACTTACTTTTATAGAACTGGTCATAAAATCATAGCTAATGATAATACCTGGATTTCCCTGGTGGCTCAGATGGTGAAGAATCTGCCTGTATTGCAAGAGATGCGGGTTCAGTCCTTGGGTCAGGAAGATCTCCTGGAGAAGGGCATGGCAACCCACTCCAGTATTTTTGTCTAGAGAATCCCATGAACAGAGGAGCCTGGCAGGCTACAGACCAGGGGATCGCAGAGTCGGATGACTGAAGCAGCTCAGCATGCACTCAGTGATAATACCTAACATCAGAACTTGAAATGTCTTTCAGATACAGTATTGTTTTGATTAATCACACAATGGCATACTCTTTCCCAAAGGCTTTTGATACTTTCATTTCCTTCAAAAAATATTCAGATCCTCCCAAATACCTCCCACATATAGTCTAAACTTAAAGACATTTTTCCTCAATGCTTTTCCATTTACTTATCTCTTTCATGTTGGAACTGTTGACATTTATTATCATCTGGAGAAACTCAATAGCCATGAACTATATATTTTTTTCTCTCTTTTGTCTTAATACTTTTAGTTTGACATTGTTCTTTCTTCCTGGTATACATATCAGCTAGTTATTCACCTTTTCCAGAGACTATTTTATTTAGTATATCTGCAAAAAACTAGCTCAAATAAGTTTTAAAGGGTGAATGCATTGAACATTTGCTTTTTATAAAATGAACTGTAATATATTGCTTATATTAAAGTATTTTCTTTTTATGGAATGTGTCTTAAACTTTTCCTCCTTTCATAGGACCTAAAACCCCTTGATAACAGGAGTTTTTATCTTCTTTTATTTAAAATATTACCTCTCTGCAGCTTTTGTATGATGTCATTTTAACGAGCTGTGAAAAACTTTCAAAAATACTTAGTGAGATTTGATTAATAAAAAGCTCTGAAGTTCTCTAATGATGGAGATAATCTTATCTAAATTTTAGCAGTCGAATCACACTAGTTTGATGATTTTTGATGTTGATTATTTTCTCATTGTATTTCTTTATCAATAAAATTTTATTAATTTTCCCTTCTTTTTGTAAAAAAAATGACTATATGACCATAAATTTTTCTGATTAAAATAACATTGTAATATTTATTGTATAAAAAACATGATAACAGATTAATCAGTTAGGTTTAATAGATATTTTTATGGATATTTTATAACACATATCTAAGATTCTCTACCACAAGCCTTTTTTCTCTCTCAAGTTAGAAATGTTTTATAGCACTTAGGGTTTAAGTATTAATGCAAGGATCTGTCTAGAAGTAGATATTAAAATAATTTTAAAGTATCTTTTAAAAAATTCCTAAGTATCTTATTTAAGGTTCTTCCTGTGATATTTAGATGACATTTAAATGTATAATGTGTTTAATACAGTTATCATTTTGTCTGTAATTGAGTGAATATGTGAATTGTGGAGTTCACAATTTTGAATGTGAAGTCATCCTTCCATATGAAAACTTCAGTTGCCTTTTTTCTCACTTCTTTTTTTTGAAACTAATTTTCCATTTTTAAAATATGTTACAGGAAGTTTATCATGAAAAGGACATCAAAGTATTTTTTGATAAAGCTAAACATGAAATCACTACTCTAAAAATAGTAGGACCAGAAGAAAACCTAAGTCAAGCTGAAGCCAGAAACATGGGAATGTATGTTTTAGCAAATATAAATTCAATCAGTATCTACTAAAGAAACTTTTCTTCAAAATTAATATTCTAAACTTGAATGTCTCAACTGTGTGTTCACATGTGTGTGTATGTTTGCATGTGTGTGTGTATGTGTGTGTATCCACACATGAGCAAGCCTCTGCTTTAGAACTATATCTATGTTTGAGTGTATTTATGTCTAAAGGGAAATGTAAATTATTTACAATTTTCTTCTAGTGGCTGAGAGTCAATATATTTAATGAAACTATTAACTGAACTTCGGTTCATGATTTAAATCCTCGGACAAATGAGTCATGTGACTGATGTAACAGTGATTTAAATATGTATTAGCTGAAGGTTTTGTGGGACAGAAATATATGTTTCAGATATTTTAGTTACCTCCTGGGCTTCCCCAGTGGCTCAGTGGTAAAGAATCTGCCTACAGTGTAGGAGCCACAGGAGATGCGGGTTTGATCCCTGGGTTGGGAAGATCTTCCGGTGGAAGAAATGGCAGCCCACTCCAGTATTCTTGCCTGGAGAATCCCATGGACAGAGAAGCCTGGTGGGCTGTAGTTCATGGGGTTGCAAAGAGTTGGACATGACTGAAGCGACTTAGCATGCATGCATGCATGATCTAAATAGTACTATATCCAAATAAAATAAATTCTTTAGGTCCTTTGTCTAGCCCCTTTAATAACTTCAGACAGATTATTTATAAACTTTTGGTTGCAGTAAAGAAAATCATTTATTCAGTGATTGTTGAATATGTCCATCAGTGGTTAGAGAGCTACTAATTAAAAGGTAAGAGATGGTCCCTTCTTAGCAGGAGATATTCTTGTATTGTGCTATAGACGCTCTGCTCCGAGTGATAGACAGTGCCTATTGTGGGCGTATAAGGACTGGCAGGAAAACAGACCTTGGAAAAATCAAACTGATGTTAATACTAAGGGTTCTGTAACTTAATCATTGGAGAGTACCGTGGGTCCACATTTAGAACCTGTTTACTCTAATTTAAAAACTTCTGTATGTGCTCTGTTGTGTCTGACTTTGCCTCAGCACAGTGTTCTCTAATTTGCTTATGTCATTACAGTTATCAGCAGTTCATTCCTTTTCATTGCTGACTAGTATTTTTCCATATGAATATATTACAAGTGCTTTATATTCTCTACAGTTGATAGGCATTGGGTTATGTAGAGTTTTGGGCCATTATGAATAAGACTGCTAATGAAGATTCTTTATTAGAAGTGTGAATACAATGTATTATGTGTGTGTGCATGTATGTGTGTCTGTGCATGTGTGTACATATATCCTTTAGAATATATTTGGAAAATACCAAGGAATGGACTAACTAGGGCACAGGGTTAGCATAGATTATGTTTAACTTTTTAAGAAACTGCTGAATAGTCCAAAATAGATGGACATTTTATACTTTTAACAGCAAGGTGGTATAGCTCCAGCTGCTCCACATGTTTGTCAGCATTTATTGCCCATCTTTTTGTTTTAGCCACCCTACTGGGTATGGAAAGATATCTTACTCTGGCTTTTTAAGTATTGCCTTTTAATGAGAAGAAATTTTAATCTTAATAAAATTCTGTTTCATTTTTTATGCTTTGGTATTTATTTTCTATTTAAGAAATCTTATTCTAATGTCATGAATCCATTATTTGAAATTTTTCTTTCATAAGCTTTATCATTCTATCATTTATGTCTAAGATGTTTCAATCTGCAATTCATCTTGAATACATTTTTGTGTTTTGAGTGAAGTAGGGGGTCAAATTTCATTCTTTGCAAATGAAATTCCAGTTGTTTCAACACTCCTTTTATTTCTCTTTTTAAAATTATTTATTTTTTAATTGAAGGATAGTTGCTTTACAGAATTTTGTTGTTTTCTGCTAAATATCAACATGAATCAGCCATAGATATACATAAGTGCCCTCCCTCTGAACCTTCCTCCCATCTCTCTCCCCATCTCACCTCACTAGGTTGTTACAGAGCCCCACTCCTTTTTAATTTAGGCTTTTATTTTCCTACTTAATTGACTTGGCCTTGGTCCTAAATTAGGTGACTGAGTAGTTGTGCGTGATTGGGAACTCTCTATTCTATCTTGTTGCTCTAAGATGAATGCCACACTTTATTACCAAGAATTTATATTCATCTTGAAATCATGTAGTATAAATGTTTCAATTTTTATCCAAGATAATCTGGGCTGCTTTAAAAAAATTTTTTTTTAGTTTATTATTTTATATTGAGGTATATATAATTCACATATAATATTTGTCTCAGGTGTGCAACATAATGCTTTAATATTTGCATATGTTGTGAAATAATCACCACAATCTCTAGTTAGCATCTGTCACCATACATAGAGTATTTTAAAATAATTTCCTCTAATTTTTCTTTTTTGTACAATTTTAACTATCTTCCTGTCATATCCTGTTTGACAGTTGATTAGAAACAAATGTGTTATGGAGATAAATATTGTCAATAGCAGAAAGTGATAATTTGGATCAGCAGTGATAGAGGAGAGCTCAGAAAGAACCCCAAATGCAGAAACCACAATACTTGGAAGCTTGTCATGTATCACAAGTAGTTCATTCCTTTGTGTTCCTGATGATAATGCTCCAGACTGTACCAGGAAAAGCATACATCATAATCCATGTCCCCATATAAAAAGCAGGGCAGTGACTATGTTAGAAAAAATTCTATGTAAATCAAGTTTAAAAAGTACTGATACCTAAAGAGTTATACACCTGTAGCTCCAAGATTTCACTTAAACTAAATTGTAGATGTACAGAATTTTGCTCTGTGTGTGTGTGTGTGTGTGTGTAGAAAATATTTTGATTTGTGAAAAAATTCTGTTGACAAAACATTAGTATAAAGTATGTTTCCCTTTTAGAGAGGACTAAATGCTGAATTATAAATTGCCCATTTGACCTGATGCTTTATGGTTTAAAGTATTTCATGGCTTGAAAATATATTTCACTTCCCTAAAATTTTTAGTATTGCTCTATCCATGAACATCTATGTTGATCAACTGACCATTTTGAAATTTAAAGTAATATTTACCCTTTTGGATGTTGTCTTACTATTTTGATTAGAAAATTACTTTAGAAAAACCTTATTTTACATGAGATTTATGTTAACATTTTTCAACCAATATTTTCAAATATTTGGTTTACTTAATGCTTATTTTATTTCTTTTTCAACAACAGGGATTTTTGCCGTCAGGATGAAAACTGTGAATATTACTTTAGTGTGGATGCAGATGTTGTTTTGACAAATCTAAGGACTTTGAAAATTTTGATTGAACAAAACAGGTACTGTATATGATTCAATGTCAATTTATTTTAAAATTATAATTATTTTCTGCGTTTATGTGGACATGCCATAATTACTTATCTGTGTTTAGGAAATTGAGGAAACTCACAAGAGATTATTTTCTACAGGTTTCAATTCTGAGTTTGCATTTTTTAGAGAAGTCAAATAGAAAATAACCTGATGAAAATTTATATGTATTCAGTATGTTACAATCATGAATATAATGTTTATTAATTATATTTGGCTTATTTTTTTAAACTAGATGAAATTGTGATTTATCTGTAACATTTGGAATTGCTTTATTTTCTAAAGATATTTTTAAAGTAGAATTTCATAAAACTTCTGACCTAAAAAGTTACTACAAGCAGAGTTGGAAGTTCTTAGAATTTGAAAGAAATTTCAGAGGTGCACATTACTCCACAGACTGATCTGTAATTTTATTTAGTACTGAACTAATTATCACTAGGCAGTACCTGTTTTTATTTAGCCAAATTGAAGTGAGAAAATGGCACAATTTATACCATCTTATAGTGATTTAATCTTTATTTTAACAATTTACTACTAACACTAGTATTGAAAGTGAAAAAAAAGTGAAGGTGTTAGTTTCTCAGTCATGTCTGATTCTTCACAGCCTCATGGACTATGTATAGCCTGCCAGGCTCCTCTGTCTATGGGATACTCCAACTAAGAATACTGGAGTGGGTAGCTATTCTCTTCTCCAGAGTATCTTCCTGACCAGAATCAAATTGGGTCTCCTGAATTGCAGATGAATTCTTTACCATCTGAATCACCAGGGAAGCCCAGTAATAGTATTACTAGTATTAATATTTCCACTAATAACCCACCTTTAATGAGTGCTTATTAAGTGCCTGGTATGTTCACAAATATTAACACAATTATTTATCTTAACAAATAGAATGGTTAGCAATGAAATGTTAAAATTGCTGTTTTGAATTTGATGATTAAAACATGTAAGATGTCTGCTGTCCTCTATTAACCCATCCTATGTATAATTTGTCAATTTGAGAATTCAAAATCTAAGGCTGCTCAGTATTAATCATAGAATTCCATACTCAAAAACATTGAGGCACACAGCAGATGGATTTTCACTTTCATTGTCTCTTTGCCCAGCTCTTTCAGGCAACTATTATAATGAAAAGATTTCTTTCTATTAAGTGTTTGATCTTATTAGTTGTCTTGAATTATCATTCCTTAAATTAACATAATATGTAGATTCTAATTTATGTTTTTATTTCCGATGCTGTGGGTATTCTAACAAAGCAGACTATAGATGTATCTGGCTAACATTTTATTCTAATAGGAACCAGGAAAAATAAACTACAAACTGTTTTATCAAGTGTATTTGTAGACTATGTGTTACTTTTCCATAGGTGATGGAAGGGCACACGTGGTCTTCACAAGATTGGAGTGTTGTGAAATGTTTTTTTTTTTGTGGAGATAGTTGGTCTATTACCTCCCTCTTGAAGGAGTTGTGTGAGATTTTCTTTAGAATTGTGTCACACTACTGTAATTTAGATCATTTTTAGTTAATTCTAGTGGAATTTCAGAATTTGTTACTTCATTTGAAAAATGTTTATGCATTATAAATTAGATTTCCTTAAGAAGAAATCTGACATATTTTGAATTTGTAACATGTACTTGTCTCAAAGGGACTCCTTTCCTGGTAAATAGTGAGACAGCACTATTCTATTTTGTTTTCTAAAACAGTCAAAAACCAGAAAAATGTTCAGTGTTGCCAGGGCTAGCACAACCCATTATAAAAGTTAAAAAAAAAATCGCAACATATTTTAAAGTAATTCAGGACTTAACTTTAGGAAAACTGGCCTATTTACAGATATCTCAGCCCATCTTCATAAATTTTTTTATTCAACAAATATTTATGAGATACCTTAATGCACTAGGGACTGTTATGTCTGCCTAATAACAATGAAAATATTTGATTTCATTGAATATAATTTTTGAAATATTTAAAATAAATGATTAAGGTAGTTACACTTTTATTGGATGCAAGTATGGTCCTTTTAAAAGTTTTTTTTTTATACTTTCATTCACATTTTCAATTACTTTTTCTTTTTTATTAGTCTTTTACCAAGCATGATTGAAAATCAGCAATGTACTTGTTTAAGGAAAAGTGAAAGGAGGAAATTCCTTTCTATTTTATTTTAGTTTTTTGGACTAACTGCATATGTGTTAAATAAAGTTTATTGTTTTCTGTGTCATGTTAAGCCCCAAACACATAATTTTGTGGCAGTTAAAAAATGGATAATTATCTGAATTTGTTTCTCTCTCCTTAGGAAGATCATTGCTCCTCTTGTAACTCGTCATGGAAAACTGTGGTCCAACTTCTGGGGGGCCTTGAGTCCTGATGGATACTATGCTCGATCTGAAGATTATGTGGATATTGTTCAAGGGAATAGAGTGTAAGTTACTTGATTTGATCTTTTCATGTGAAATATCTTTTGTAAAGATATGGTCTTATTATATTGAGTTTTCAAACATTTTTTAATCTCTTTCCTTTATGTTAAATGGAAATTTGAAGACCTTGGAGACCACTTGTGATCCTGCAATACTAGTATGAAACTAATATTTTAAAAATTGTTCTTAATGTCATAAATCTTCAAAGGCACACACTCTCAGTTGTGGTAAATGCTAAAAGGTAGTGTATGATTGCCATGGGTAGATATCTTATGGTTGTTAGAAAAGGGATATTCTTTAAAGTTTGGAAAGGGAACTTCATTTAGCTAATTTATTTAGTGGCCAGGATGAATGTTGTTTGATAGCTTATAAACTTTATAAATGAGTCAACAAAAACACCAACAACTAAACCTTCCATCATTTCCTTTTGAAGAATTTTCTATGTGATATAGCTGGTATTCTGCTTTAAAGAGAAGTTTCTTCACCGTATAATTTCCATTTTCTAGAGTTTGAAAAGAGTATACTTGCTACAAAGTATGTGACTTATTTATACTTATTTCAGACACAAAAGTTGATATTTTTTAAACTAAAGGATGATCACAGTTGAATTAGCTTTTTGCTAAGGTTAAAATAGAGAAGAATGTCATCCTTTTTTTTTTCAAACAGCTGACTTGAACCAGAGTGACTGAGACATTAAGTGCGTTGCCTAATTTTTCAGATACATCAGCTCAATTAAAGAGGGTTAATGTTTAGAAAAAAAAAAAAAAATCATACAGTGTTTTTGAACAGTTGAGTTGTGAAGAGATGTTTTTCTTGTGAAAATTATAATAGGCATGTAATAGTTAATTTGAATTATACAAATGTCATGAAGTCTTTTGTTAGCTGCAGTTAAGGAGCATGATAACTGAGAAAATACTATTACAATCATATTCTGTTGTTTCAAAATACTTTAATAGTTTCTGGGATGATTTGTATAGACTATATGCCTGATGCTGTCCATGGGTGTGGCAGAAATAAGGCTTCACAGAAGTGGAAATAGAGAACTCATATTTCATTTAAGCTGTTTTAGTTCAACTTCCTGTCGCTGTCTAAAGGAAAAGAATAAAGTAGAGGCTTTTGATTTAGTTAATAGAAGAATGTACCTTATGTATGAGATGCATGAAAGAATGACATCTTACAACGTGTGTGTGTGTGTGTGTGTGTGTGTGTGTGTGTGTATGAAACAGTGTGCTTTTTACCATACCGGTGATTAGTTTCTGAATTCAGTGGGCACACTATATATTTTTTATTGAACATTTCCTTTGAAGCTCATCTAGTAAGACAAAATGATACTATGTATATTGCTTTCAGTCTCTAACTACATTTCCTTGGTCAGGATCTTCCCTTTATGTTCTGTGAAAGCAAAACATATCCCTTCAAGTGAAACTTCTGTTTTATTGTTTATAGGAAATGAGTCATGTTCAGAGTAAGCAGACAAGTGTGGGAAAGAAACAAGGATGAAATAAGCAGTGTCTTCCATCACTTGTGTACTTCAAGCTATGTTTATTTATTTATTTATTTATTTAATTTTAAAGCTATTGGTCTTTTTTTTTCCATTTATTTTTATTAGTTGGAGGCTAATTACTTTACAACATTGCAGTGGTTTTTGTCATACATTGAAATGAATTAGCCATGGATTTACATGTATTCCCCATCCCGGTCCCCCCT